AAAGACAAATGTATAGTACAAAGCACAAAGCAGTCGACTCATTTTTGACACAAATGGAACCTCATACATATAATCCATTCTAAATTGCGGGACATGTTTGATAATAAAACGTTGAAAGCACAATCCGCACAAGAGACGCTGTTCCTCCGGCTGAAATGTGTGCGCACGGCATGCTCCAAAACGGACAAACAAATTACACTTTGAGCTTCGGGCGCATGTCCAATCGATCAAATACACACACAAATATGTCAAAATGGCCGGCTTGGAGAGTATTTACTTAAACACAGTTTATGTCTTAAGTGGAGTAGAACAGTTGGGAGAAAATCCGATGTGTGTCAATATATTGTCTTAAAGTGACAGACTGGTGCTTGGGCCATCAAAATGCAAATCTGCTCTTAATCTGAATAACGTTATAGCTTTAATAAGCATTAATCTATCAATACATACACTGAAAACTATGCAGTGTTCATTTACATTTGATTACTTTTAGATTTCTTTTGTAGGCTATTACTTACCTGAACAGTAATGTTAGTAGAACTTCATGGAAAAATGACAGCACTGTTTATTTCATTTCATTTGTATATTTGTTTTATTGTATTTGTCAGTTTGTTTTACTTTGTTTCTTTGTTCATGTTCTTACTGTATCTTATCTTATGTATAAAACACTAAAAATGCCTGCACACTGGTGCATTTACAAATTGATGTTTTATATTCATTTCATTAAATATTTATTTTACATTTCAGAATATAAAGCAATGTTAATTCAGCTCTTAATTTGTCACATATATATATATATATATATATATATATATAAAACAAAAAGTACCGATAAGAATACCGTTAAAGTACAGAATCGATAAGCAGTATCGGTAAGAGTAGTAATACCGTTAAAACCTTAACGATACCCATCCCTAATCCTGAGTCTTTTTCATTTAATATTTCAACAGCAACAACGTATTATTTCTTCAAGCTTGTATGAGATGTTGTTTTTACAGTTCATGAATCTTATAAAACGATTCTCATGATTTTCTCATGATTTCCTGCACAGAACCTGAATTTGATCAGTATGCTGGTGGACAATGCAACTATAGGAGAATGGAACTTGCAGGGTCTCCCCAACGATGACCTGTCCATTCAGAATGGCATCATCGTAACAAAAGCTTCTCGTTATCCTCTGCTCATTGATCCTCAGGGCCAGGGCAAGATCTGGATCAAGAACCGTGAAAATAATAATGAGCTACAGGTACTGATTTGATACCAGTTTTAATCTAATTTGATTAAAGGGGTCATATGATGCAATTTCAATTTTTCCTTTCTCTTTGGAGTGTTACAAGCTCTTGCTGCATAAAGAAGATCTGTAAAGTTGCAAACACTAAAGTCTCAAAACCAAAGAGATATTCTTTATGAAAGTTAAGAGTTAACCACGCCTACCTAAAACGGCTCGTTCTAACACGCCCCACATGTCTACGTCACGATGTGGGAAGATTTCCATAACGCCGCCCAAATGTTCACGCAAACAAAGGCGGCGTAACTTTTATTCTCGCTGTAGTATTGTTGATGCTGAAATAATGTTCTTTTTAGCAGCATCATATGACCCCTTTAAAGTTTGATTATATTATCATTACTGTAATTATCGGTGTAATTAAATCAATCAATGTAGCAACTTTGAATTAGTGCGATTTAGCTAAAAAATTAAGCAAAAAGTCACTGCAACTGTCAGCTGCCCCCCCCATCAGGTGACATCTCTAAACAACAAATATTTCCGAACTCACCTGGAAGACTGCCTGTCCCTGGGCAAACCTTTGCTCTTAGAGGATGTTGGGGAAGAGCTTGATCCAGTGCTAGATAACATACTGGAGAAGAACTTCATAAAGTCTGGAAAAACTTCTAAAGTAAGTCATGTGACTTCATGAATACATTCTATAATTTTTTTTTACATTTCTAAACTTAATGCGGTACTAGACACATGCCCGGTCTCAAAATTCTCTGGGCTTTAGTAGACCAAGCTAAGACATTTTCTCTTGTGTTAGGTAAAAGTCGGGGACAAAGAAGTGGATGTAATGGATACATTTACTTTGTACATCACAACTAAACTAGCCAACCCTGCATACAGCCCAGAAATCAATGCTAAGACAGCAGTGGTGGATTTTACAGTTACCTTGAAGGGTTTGGAGGACCAGTTACTTGGCAGAGTCATTCTCATAGAGAAAAAGGCAAGTCTGAGACAGTGTTATTTTAGTATCATAATATACTATTATAGTTTTTATTTATATTTTGAATTAATTTAATATTTTTCATTTCAATTTTTGTCAAAGCTTTAGTCCTTTTATTGTCATTTTTGTTTTTGTCTATGTAATTTTTTATAAATTTTTATTTCAATTTTAGTTTGAGAGCAACTAGTTGAAATAAATTAGTATTGTATATGTATACCAGTGCTTCTCAAAGTCCAGACCCGCCTCCATTTCGTATTTTAGGAGCACTAATTATTTCCTACTTTGATAAATGCATGTTAAACTTGTAAATCATTTGTTTAGTTTTTTTAATGTCTTTTTGGAGATGGTCCGAAATGAAAGCGAAGGCGAAATATTGAAACTTTTCCTTCATGACATTTGTTGTCATGACATCTAGTGAGCGTATGACGTTTGACATAATCGGGCGACATTTCACCGCTAATATGAGTAATTTTTTATTTATTTATTTTTGTTATCACTTAGATTATGGACATTTGACTTATAGCAGTGTCCAGTGTTTCCCATACATTGAGTTATTTGTGGCGGCCTGTTCCAAAATCAAAACTGACCGCCACAAATAGATTTTCCAAAAGGATGGATCTTCGTTGAATAAACTGAGCACTGCACGTTTCAAAATTAAAATGCAGCGCGGATGGTTTTATATGAATGTATCATTGAAAAGAACCGACCGTCTTCAGAAAAGCTTTGATGCCATTTTCATTTCGTCTTTCCTAGCGTTTGTGAGTGCAGTGCTTATTTTTATTATTGGGGCATATTTTGGGGCAGTCGTGGCCTAATGGATAGAGAGTCGGACTTGTAACACGAAGGTCGCCGGTTCGAGTCTCAGGTCTGACATTGTAGGTGCAGGATTGTAGGTGGGGGGAGTGAATATCCAGCGCTCTCTCCACCCTCAATATCACGACTGAGGTGAGACCCTTGAGCAAGGCACCGAACCCCCAACTGCTCCCCGGGCGCCACAGCATTGGCTGCCTACTGCTTCCGGGTGTGTGTGTGTGTGTGTGTTTGTTCACTTCTCACTGCTGTGTCTGTGCACTTGGATGGGTTAAATGCAGAGCACAAATTCCAAGTATGAGACACCATACTTGGCCACACATCAGGTCCTTTCCTTATTTGATTACAGCCGTTACCGGGGAAACCGCTATATGTCTGCTCCAACAGCGCCTCCTGCTGGCAGAGAATGAATTTGCATTTGCAAGTCTGTGGGAAACACTGGTGTCTGTCAACAAACATAAACAAAAAGCATGCTTCAGAACTGTTTTGAGAAGGTGCTTTGAGCCATGTATTATTACTATGAGTTAGGCTACTACTACTACTATTACCATCTTGTACCCTGCAATAATCTTGTGACCTCTATTGCTGACTCTTAAATTAATTGTTTTGCCACTTTTGCACTTGTTATTAATGTATTTTGAATGCAAAGGGCTCTTTATTTTTTCAAAAAATTTATATTTATTTGTTATGCATGTTATGTATGTTTATTAAAAACAAGTTTTGTAATAACCAATTGTTCCGGTCCGGACCTTTGACACTGATGAAAATTCAGATTTGGACCTTTGAATGTAGACTTTGAGAAC